AGCACTCCTCCATCTTTTATTTTTTTTATTTTTATTATTATTTTTATTTTGATCGGTAGGATCATGTTGTTACTCTTCATTACATACTCCAACTTGGTGCCCTCATAAATTTGTATGCTACACCTTGCATTATTCCTGTACTTACAGCTGCACTGGGAGGGCTAAGAGGACTTGTTAAGTTCTTTGCCCTCCTGTATGATTCCACAATCACTACTGGATGTCTGTTGGTCCTTCTACTGTTACAAAGCCATTTCTATCATTAGACAAAATGAGGCAGCTGCCTTAGAAAGATTGGGGAGCAGACCTAAATTATCCTATTGCCCATAAGCATAGTACAAAACACTGTACCACTTATGATTTTAAAATAAGATTCAACTGTTAGTTTGAATAGCTTATATATGTGAAACAAAGGTGTGTCTTTCACCTCAAGCCAGCCCCAGTTACATAAATAAAAGTCAATTTCAAAATATATATAATAGCTGAATCAGAAATTAAAATAAGTCTACCATTTTGAGGCTATACTCATCTGAAAGATAACTCCAGCCCGCATCAACTAGAAAAACCAAGTTTAGCATGGAAAAAGGTAAAGGTAAACGTTCCCCTTGACAATTTGTCCAGTCGTGTTCAACTCTAGGGGGCCATAGAGCCAGCGTTTGTCCGAAGACAATCCTCCATGGTCACATGGCCAGTGCGACTTAGACACGGAACACTGTTACCTTCCCGAGGTGGTCCATATTTATTTACTCGCATTTGCATGCTTTCGAATCGCTAGGTTGGCGGGAGCTGGGACAAGCGATGGGAGCTCACTCCGTCACATGGATTCAATTTTACAACTGCAGATCTATAGACCTTACAGCACAGAGGCTTCTGCGGTTTAACCCACAGCACCACCACGTCCCTTATTTAGCATGGAAACATGAAGGCAAAATATGTTCCTATTACTCTTTCAAAAATCTAAGCTAACATACTCCCTTAATATGCATATTTGCATATATCTGTCTGTTATTGGTTAATATGTTTAATTGCTGATTTTGTTGTGATTGTTGTCTATAATTTCATATTCTTGCTATTTGTATGCTGCCCAGTGAATCCCTGTTCACTATGGGGCAGTATAAAAATGTAAACAAACAAATAAAATGGTATTTCTACATGTCATATTTCAGCTTGTTACAATGTACACAAAGCCTACAACACCCAAATGGCAAAGTTAAAAAATGTGGGCAGACATGACACAAAACATGGTGTTCTAATACTAAAGAACTAATTTATATAATCTTCCCAGTAGTCTTCAACACCTTGAAGTTGAGTGTTACAAAATCTATTTCAAGTATAATCCAACAGTCAGCTCCCCATTAATTAAAAAATCTATTGGCAATCATTCCTGAATGTTCCATACTTCTCTTTTTATTTCCAGGTATTGAAAGTAAATTCTTTTGAATGTCAAATATTAAACAGGATGTCACCCTCAGTGCTCTTTCGATTCTCACTTTGCAGATCAAGAGGAAGAGACAGTATCAGTACATATTTCCGTAAAATGCGGCAGAAATGTTGTGACAAGAGGGAAGTTACTATGGAACAGACAGAGTATTATTTATTTTATTCTATTATGAAGGAAAGTAAATATGTTTAAAGCAATCTCATTCTGATGGTTGTTGTGGGTTTTTCGGGTTCTTGGCTGTGTTCTGAAGGTTGTTCTTCCTGATGTTTTGTCAGTCTCTGTGGCCGGCATCTTCAGAGGACTGGAGAAGGAATTCTGTCCTTGCTCTGTTGCTGTTTGTTGGATAGTTGAGTATTTACAGCTGTGGGGACAGCTTTTGTCTTTTTTCAGGAGATAGGGTGGTCAGCATGTTTTTGTTGTGATCAGAGGGGAGAGATTATCTGTCACTGTGGTTGATGGGTGTCCTTAGCTGGTCTTTTTTTTTTTGTGCCGGCCACAGAGACTGACAAAACATCAGGAAGAACAACCTTCAGAACATGGCCAAAGAACCCGAAAAACCCACAACAACCATCAGATCCCGGCCATGAAAGCCTTCGAGAATACTATCTCATTATGTTGTCTCCAAAGAAATACTGCCTCTAGCCCCCCCCCTTCCCATATCTCCACAAGTACTGTGAAAGTTATATCCTCCTTTTTTAAAAAAAAGGAAAGGAAAGCAAAAGGAAATATACCTGAGGGGCACAAGGCTACCTCTGCTTTGGAGCAAAGAACCTCACTGGGCCGAACAGAGGGAAAGTCAAGCTCATAGACAGGACCAACTCTACTATCAGGCAGAGTGAGGCTGCTACCTCAAGCAGCAGATTCCTCATGTCACAGAGGGGAGCAAATTGTTAGTGATCAAATTTCTTATTTTAATTTTTTACCGTTGGGTAGGAGCACAAGTGTTTGTAGAGTTTTCTGGGTCGGGTGCCAAAAGCACTTGGCTGGCTTTGGGTGCTGTATTTCCTGATTTGAGTAGGCGGTAGGGCACTGTTGGCTTCTCTGCCTCAGGCATGGCAGTGTTTCTTACCTGCTGGCATGGATCTGGGTTTGCGTTTTTGGGCACAAGCTAGGCAGCAACACCCTGCCTAGGCCCAATGATGCCGATAACTCTTTTATTCCCCCTCCGCCCTCAGCATATTCTGAGAACTAGTATAATGCGAAGGATAGAGTGTTGGACTAGTATGCAGGACATCTGAGTTCAAATCCTCACCTGACCATGGAAATTTACTGGGGGTGGGCTGAAACTAGTAAAACCACTCTGTAAATATCTCACATATCTTGGAAAACATATTTAGGTCTTCCTATGCTGCTGCTGCTGCTGCTTAGTATGCTTGCCCATCATGTGGGGGAGAGAATGTCCTTGTTCATAGGGGCTAATCAGAAGAAATTTTGCCAGAGTTAGGGCTAATGATTGGAGTATTCTGTCATTGGGCACCTGCTGCCTCATCCTTCAGACTGCTTCCCTTACAGTGAGTAACTGAATAGGCAAGCAATCCTAGGAGCACGACTCACCTCTGCCTCTCCTTCCGAGCAAGATTTAGATATTGCCATTGCAGAGCGCGCGCGCACGTGTGTGTGTGTGTGTGTGTGTGTGTTAGACTACAGTTGGCCTGCCATTTGGAAAGTCCAGGCTGACATTACAAATAAGCCATGAATTTGGGTGACCTTTGGCCATCCATTCTCTCAATTGGATCCCCAGTCAGCCTGACCTACCTTACAATCCTGTTGTGAGAATAAAGCCAAGAGCACTAGAGAACATACTTTGATTTGTGCAATTTGACGTTTGAGCAGGAGAACCACATATTTTGATCTGAGCAAACTGGCGGAGAAGTGAAGTATTAAAAAAAATTATGGAGCTTTCCTAGCTGTGTTGACATGCAAGCCAGCCACTGAGTTTTTGGCTGTACTTCCAACAAAGTGTGTACAGCACTGCAGTCTTAGTTTGCCTTAAATATTTATTGGGTGCAATCTTAGATACTCTTTCATGGCAGCAAGCCCACTGAATTTAGTTGGACTTACCTTTGAGTAGACAAAGGTTATTGCTATTCCACTGCATTTGCACAGAGCATGCTTGCTTCCTATTAAGAAACTGTTTAAAATAGTGCCTTCTCAGTTTAGTTGAGAAAGACGTCGGATAACTGAACATTTATTAATTAAAAGTCATAAATCAATCAATCAGCAACAGTGAAAACAACATGTGGATGGGGGAATTTATCAAGGAAAGAGATCGCCTGAGGTCCAAGAGGCTTCTGAAAACCTAGAACCAGCACTGCTTGTGTTTCATACAAACATGGACATTCCATCATCATCATCATCATCATCATCATCATCATCATCATCATCATCATCATCATCATCATCATCATCATCTATTATAGAGCTCCCTCCTTTTCCAGGATGAAGTACCGTCACACTTAATTGCTGCCATTCAGTGCAGCAACAATAAGCTTTCCAGCTTTGGCTGCAAAATTCAGACATAGACCTAGCAAATATATGAAAGCAATCTTTGCCTGTCAGTTGCCTTTCCAATAAGTTGCACTACAACTTACATCCTTCCAAGTAAGGATGACAAGAGACTTCTTTCCCCACCCTGTGAGCTTCTGGGTATGTCACTGATCACAGTGCCCATCACCTACACATTGAGAATGGGAACAATGGGTGTTGTCATCCAAGACACCTATTGAGTTGGACAAGGCAGCTACAAGTACTGTGTTCAAGGAGGCTCCACTTACCAAAGTCAGGAGGCCAGCTATTCTTTGTTGAATCCACAACACTGCAATGGAGGGTGTATCTCAACAGGCAAATCCTGTCTTGACTTGTTAGGAATGATATCGTTGCAAACCTATCACTAGAGGTTCCTCCTTGTTGGCCAAATCAGCATTGCGAAGGACCCAGCAAGAACCTTCTGCATTGTCCTTGGAAATGAGGAAACGGAGTGTGTTGTCATCATCTTGCACAGGAAATGCAAAGTTGAGCAAAAGACTGAGACCATTGTCCACAAAAGGGTGGGGAGCCACTACGGTAGGTCACACCTAACCTTTGTTTGTCCATAGATTTATTCCTGACATGGCTCACCCCTGTCTCAGTCTGCTTTGCTCTCAAAACTCTAGGGAAGGTTCTTCTTGCTGTCACACAGTCGTAAATCTAATAACACTTATTAGCAACTTCCTTCCAGTAAGCACAAATTATACAAACAGAAGAAAACACAATCTGTAACTGAGTGATGCTATTAATGGCAATTAGCTCTGAGTCACGCAAATCCTTCTACCCAATTTCACTTGAAATGTCACATTTCTAGCCTTTTAACAGCAACTCTCAGCAAGTAAATCAACTGTTGGAAATTCAATGAGGCATGGAAGTACCCATATGTCTTCCTTCCAATCTCTCTAGTATCGGGCTATCTTGCCATCCCCATCCCCATCACTACTATTAATAAAATAGCATAAATTATATCATTTTCTTTTTCAAAAACTCTGTGTTTACCATCTTACCATAATACAGTACAATAAGTAGTGAATGGCTAAAACAGTAATGAACCAATAAAACAGTATGATTTTTAAAAATATTAGCATCAGTGTGGACAAGTCCTGCATCTGAATTCCTCTGCAGGACTGTTGTGGAGAAGATCACTAACGATAGATAACGAATGTACTTTTGGACATTCTGAAGTACAGTGCCCCAACCTGATACCATTCAAATGCATTGTGGTGCAACTCTACCATCCCTAGCCATCATAGCAAATGGGTGGAAGGAATCTGCACTCAGGCAGGAAGCAAGTGTGTTGCTGGAGGGCATGATGCACTGTGTTAGATTTATTTCCTTATTTATTTCAAATCTTTTCTCCCACTTTTCTGCAAGAGGGTATATGGAAAGACTAGATTTGTGAGGAGTAATGCCATCAGACCTTTGGTCAAAGGATTTTCTGTTCCCAACAGGGGCCAAATATTCTCTTCCGCAGTGCTAGCCGCCATCTAGCACCATATACTCAAGGTTGTCTAATTGCACCATTGTTTGGGTGAATGAAAAGAATACTTGATCTAAGAATGGGCTGAGACTGGATTGACCTGAACTTTAGGGGAAGTACATGAATGTAGATGGGAAATGGGACACTATTTCAGTGCTTTCAGGATGTATGCAACACACATACAGAGAGAGAGAGAGAGACTGAAGCACCGTATGAATCATCATGTGACCTTGTCACTGCAATTTCCTTCTGATCTCAACAAACCTGTTCACCTCTTACCATTCCACATTAATTTACTGCATCATGCATAAATAAACCTGCTCATATGAGAAAAAAACCTTGTGACTTGATATGACACTGATTATCTAAAAAAAGTCATTAATGGAAATCTGGTGGACAGAAGGAAATACGAGCGCTAACAAAAAACATGCATGGTGATGGATGATGGGTCCATGGGGATAACAATTACCTCAGCTCAAATTACATGTCTGCTATGAAAAAGAAGATTTATTTTAAAAAATTGACACACTAGAATTGAAAAAGGAAACAAAAAAGACCCCTCTGAAAATAATTGGAAGCCAGTTCTAAACTTTTCATTATGGAGTAGCTCATGTAAAGCCTCCTTGTGTTGAATTACAATATTGCCTTAGAGCCAGACCTGGTACTGGGCAGAGTGAGTCAACTGCCTTAGGTACAGTAGTAATTGCACCTGGGGTTTCTGCTGCCTGCTGTTCTTCCAGAGCGCCCTGGCCTTTCTCTTTTCTTGGTGGACAGAGCTCTGGGGTTGGGGTGAGAAACTATTCTACTGCCAATGTTGAAATAAGAACCAACTGTCAGCCCAATCCATAAAATGGAAAAGGCAGGATGCCATATTGTTCTTTATGCCAAATCTGAGAACTATTTAACAACAGGTTGAGGGACATGAATGAGGAACCTATTCTCTTCAGCAATAGCCTTACTGACTAGAGGCCGATGGGAATAGCAGCAGGACCTATTAGAGAGGTGCCAGATTGAGAATGCCTATTCAAAAACTTTTCCATGTTTTCTCAGTCATGAACAAGTTGGTGGGTCTTGTGTTGCAGTAGTTCTGCATTTTTGGTATTCAAAACTGAGAGTTAGAGGTTGAAAGTAGTTACAGTAAGTCTGAAGACTGCTTTTGGAAATGTAGTTTCCAGATGTACTTTATAACGAGTTACAAAATCAAGTCTTAAAGATGAATGTGAAAGTAATAATTGGATATCAAGGTCATACAATGTTGAAGACATGATCATAACTGGGGGAAATTCCAGATTTTGTAAATCTTTTGTAAACGGAAGATAAAACTTGATAAAAAAAATTGAAGATAAAACACTGAGAATTGTTTGCTTCAATTAAATTGATTGTACTCTGTGTCGACATCGGTTGATACAAGACAACTGAGAAATACCTAAATGTATAGAAAAATAAATTATAGATCACAAGAGCAGTCTTCATCTAATCAACTGACTTATTTACTGTCTTACTATTTTGCTGTATATGCTACACTATACTCGGATAGGATCTAATTACTGATCCTACTGTTTTGCTCCTTTGGTGAAAAAATATACACAGGAAGCTTGACTAGAAATACCTCCTGAGCTTTGAAGGTAAGTGGGAGATTAGATAATGCCCCTGCGCTAGTGATTTGCAGAGGGGGGACCTTGAACAAGTGGAGCCTACCTCCTCCTTGCTGCTATCATCATGGAAAATTTATTTATCTGCGCAGTCACCCAGAGGAAGAGAAGCAGGCATGCGAGGGCTCTTGCACCTTCTCCTTGTGCTACTTATTGCAGCATAGGATAAGCAAGCTCCCGAAATCTGGCTATAAGTCTTCTGTGGGGTCTGGAACTTGGTAGTGTCAGACTCTTATCTGGCCTTGTTTCCACTCACACCATTTTCAGTAGCACCTGTGCACAGTGGTGTGAGCCCAGAATGGTAAGCCAAAATCAGGCTTATGCCAAACGTCCCAGTACATGGAGGCTGTCTGTGCTCTCTTGGCTGTTCCCACTAGTGCAGGAGACTAAGCAAATAAGAAATAGATTGTTTATCATTTTCTCTGAAAGGACTCTGGCTTGGCATTTTTTTTTCCAAACAAGCCAGGATTTGCAAGCAGACACAAATCCTGGTTTATGATCCTGTCTTACAGGAGCTTTCTAGTTTATTTAGTCACTGGTGTGATGCAGGAGGAACCAAGCAAGCATGGGCTGACCTGCACCTCCTTCACAGTAAGCTAGAGTTACCCTGAATTCTAGCATGCTGTTTGAAGGAAATTAAGCCAATCTTGTGTGATAAGGAATGACAGTTATCCCAGTACAAAGCTGTCATTTTTTTTCAAATAAGTAGAAACTACATTTTTATACCTGTGTTTCAGTTCTCAGTCCCATCCTTTGCCAGTTATAGGTGGACAGTTAATGAAAATTATATCAACTCTTCAAAGGAGTATCACTAAACTAAGGAAAAAGACAGTTGCATCCTAGAGGGACGTGGTGGTGCTGTGGGCTAAACCGCAGAAGCCTGTGCTGCAGGGTCAGAAGACCAGCAGTCGTAAGATTGAATCCACGCAACGGAGTGAGCTCCCGTTGCTTTGTCCTGGCTCCCACCAACCTAGCGGTTCGAAAGCATGCAAATGCAAGTAGATAAAAAGGGACCACCTTGGGGGGAAGGTAACAGCATTCCGTGTCTAAGTCACACTGGCCATGTGGCCATGGAAGATTGTCTTCGGACAAAACGCTGGCTCTATGGCTTGGAAACGGGGATGAGCACTGCTCCCTAGAGTCGAACACGACTGGACAAAAATTGTCAAGGGGAACCTTTACCTTTACCTTTTACCATGTCTAAAGCCATGCTGACATCTAATAAGATTTGTATTATTTATGCATCTGCATGAATTCACACATAAAATAATTTATCTCCCCCTTTTTTTCCAAGGTAAAAGTGAGTATTCAAATAAGAAAGGAAAGCATGTTTTCATCCCCACCTTACACTACAGCAAAATGTTGTTTCAAGTGACCTTTGGAAAAGTTACCCTTTCTGATAGCAACTCCCAGAACTCCTGAGCCACTGAACACCTCATTGGTTGGACAATTCTAGAAATCATAGCCCCCAAATCCACTTTTCCTAAAATCTATTTGAATTTGACTCATGGTCACCTTAAAGAGGTTCCTTCTTGCCTTGCCTTCCCCTTCTCTCTATTTTTGCTACATGGGGGGTCTCTACCTTCCCAGCTGTCCTCAGGTAGGTGGGCAGCAGCAGCAGCAGCAACAACAAAACCAATATGTGCTCAAAGCCTTCCTTGCACATTTGCTTAACTTAATCAACGAAATACAGAAAAATTATTGCTTAATGTGTATAGATAGCCAGAAATCACTGTTCCAGAAACATTTTACATGTTCAGGATTTAGGAAAGTAAGGTAAATGCCAAATTTGCTCCCTAATGTTGTTGTTGTTGTTGTTTAGTCCTTAAGTCATGTCCGACTCTTTGTGACCCCTTGGACCAGAGCACGCCAGGCCCTCCTGTCTTCCACTGCCTCCCAGAGTTGGGTCAAATTCATATTGGTCGCTTCGATGACACTGTCCAACCATCTCATCCTCTGTAGTCCCCTTCTCCTCTTGCCTTCACACTTTCCCAGCATCAGGGTCTTTTCCAGGGAGTCCTCTCTTCTCAAGAGATGGCCAAAGTATTGGAGCCTCAGCTTCAAGATCTGTTCCTCCAGTGAGCACTCAGAATTGATAGTTTTGTTCTCCTTGCAGTCCAGGGTCTCCTTTCAGTCTCCTCCCGCACCACAATTCAAAAGCATCAATTCTTCGGCGGTCAGCTTTCTTTATGGTCCAGCTCTCACTTCCGTACATCACTACAGGAAAAACCATAGTTTTGGCTATGCTGACTTTTGTCGGCAAGGTGATATCTCTGCTTTTTAAGATGCCATCAAGGTTTGTCATCACTTT